TGGTACTTAAGTATTGGCAGAAGACTGACTAATGAATATGAAAAAAACAAATCCAGTTAAGTCTTAATGATAGATAAGTTTTTTGACATGTACAATCTAGGAGACAATCTTTCAGTTTTCTTTCTTTTCCATTTGAGAGAAAATAATCCAAGGGATGTTTCTCTACATTTCTTTGCCTTAGAAGAGGGTCATCATATACAGTCAATAATGTGATTCAGCTGTCTCGAAATTTCAGGGAATTCAGTCAGCCTTAGTCAACTCAGTAAGTCTCCTGTGTCTGACAAATATGCTCTGTCGTTCACAACCCTCAAAAGCTACATTTGCAAGTGTTTCTTTAATCAGAAGCTGTAGCAAAAGTGTCAAAGTTTTTCTACATAAAAATCCGTGAAGGTAAGGTAATTTAAGGAAATGTGTTAACAGGTAAACCAAAAACCCAAACAGCAAAGAACAGTCTGAGGTTTATCTAACCCTCTACTGGTAAAAAGCAATGGGGCATGAAACCAGAGATCACTGAACCTTAAGTTCTATGTTTGACCCAACTGTTTGTAATTAAACCAGACTGAAGAAGTCACTTCTGTTGCTGCAAGTCAGCAACATGCCAGAGGGACAAGAGCTTCACCAGCGCTCCATCATTTCTCCCCTTCGACGTGACAAAGGTAAGCTGGCCTCTTACAATTTAATTTTTACAATTCTAGAGCTCAGAAGACAGACTATAAACGTTCCCAGGGAGTTTCCTTAGTAGGCATAATTGACCAAGTGCTTTTATTCCCCACTTTGGTGGCTTTAAGAACACTCTTAACAGAGAACAAGCGATGATGTCTACTCACATTTCCTGTTTGAAACACATGGGCTTCTTGGACTGCCTTTCACAAAATCTGTGCCCAGAATTAACTAGAAAAATGCTTTTCTAGAATTCAAGTGTAAATACATGCTATATAAAAGAACATATGTGCTGCAAAACCATGAAGTATTGCTTAGACTGAGAAGTCAGATCCAGAATTACATAAACTGCACTCAGCCTGCTGCATTTCCATTTGACCACAAGTTAACATGTTGGATTTATAAAAATGCCTTTTTTTCCTTTTCTAAAACAGTTTAATTCTCTTTACCCCCCCTCCCCGCCGGGCTTGGTTTTGTGTTGGGTTTTTTGTTTGTTTGTTTTTATTTTGTTAAAGTTAATACTATACCAGTATTGCAAGGAGACAAAAAAACCCCACCAGTTAATACACAGAATATTATTTCTCGTTCATTTAACACTTCATTAACCATTCAGAAATAGATCTATAGAACAAATTCAGTTGGGAGGAACCTCTGGAGGTTATCATGACCAACCGTGCACTCAAAACAATTCACATACATTTGTTGTCCAATTAAATACAGAGAGAAACAAATCTATTTTCTCTCTCCAGCGCTCCCATTTGGATTAGGATACTACAAAGAGACACTTGTAACAGAATTCTTTGCTATGACACATTCAACTTAAAAGAGCAAAAGAAAATTCCCATCCAGTTTTAGCATAAATATTTTTGTGGCCTCCTCTAGTCATAGTTACAATTTCAGACAGGCATCATCCACTCGGAGCAGCTGGATGTCTGCCTTTTTAAAAGGATGATACAAAACTCCCACAAGCATGGAATGTAATGCATGAAAAGCTACAAAAGCCCCAAACCTTAGCTAGCACTAGAAGCCAGTCTGTTGTTCAGTTACCCAAAGTGCAAACTCTTATTCTTTCCCTAATGCTCCTCATCCAACTCCATCACATACACAAAAAATGCACATATTGCCCACTTTTCCTCAACGGGGAGGATTTACTAGATCTCACACATTTTTTAGTAATTACAAACCAGTAAGTAATACGACAAAACTTAGTTTCTTAAAGGTATTTTAAGACTAAACTGGAAAGACTAGTTTCACAGTATTATTCTTGTCCAGTTATAAATATAAAAAAATCAGTTTCTGCATCAGTATCAAAGTCAAAAAAAAAATAAAAAATCTTAACTTCCCCTCACTCTAATACAACATTTCTCAAATGTCCTATTAACTACATTTGTTAACCTTCATTAATGTACTCGGCTAAGCAAAGCAAACCTACGTGATACCAGTCTAGAGATGCTAGTATTTCTTGCATGATTTGGAATTAACGTATCATCATCCCAATTTCCTTTCCCCTGAAGCAGGCAGAGAAAAGCAATGTGAACAGTTTTCTATCTGGAAGCGACTGATATTTGCAAGATGTTCAGAGTATTCCTGGTACACAGAGAATCTCCACCAGAAGTCTCAAAAACTACATAATGAGTTGAGTTTTTACGCGCAAAAGCAGTTTTTTGCAGACTGAATGTCAACCTTAGGCTTGTTGTTGGGCAATTTATAGATAACTTTAATTTCTTTTTGAGTTAAAAGGATGATGATCATCAAGGTTGTTCCAAGTTGAATTACATGTGAGCAAGGCATTAAAAAACACACCCCACACTAGAATCCAGGGAACAACTGTGATCAGGAAGTCCACTCCTTACGTGATAACACCTTTTAAAGGTGTTATAACTAGAAACCTCTTGTAATATACTTTGTCTTGTGATGGTACAGCATTAAACCCTTGCTGGTTGCAGAAATTCATACTGTAAAGCTTTCAGCAACTTTTAAAAAGTGAGTTATCCTGGAAAAACTATCCCCCATTTGCTCCCAGAAAGCAGGAATGGCCTGATTATCAGAGAAACAGTTAACTAAGTATTGAACTACTTTATGACTTCCAATAAAGCACAATTGCTTTGTAAACAGCTCAGCTACACCACCTTTCCCAAAGAATACTCTAGAAAGACCACAAAAAAAAAAGAAGCAAAACCCAAAAAACCCATCTCACTGCCATCATTCACGCAGTAAACTGCAACAAGAAACAGAACAAACTTGCTATTAACTCAGAAGGACAGTTTGAAGCAGCCAAACAATTAAAACACTTTAGCATGGATTTGTAGGCTGATTTGCTTGCCTGCTCTGAAAAAAACCACAGAACTCTGTCTCCAGGTTGCTAAGAACGGCACCAAGCTAACACCTAAGGAAATGCAGGGCATCTGCAACAGTCAAGTTACAACTGCAGCTCTGAGGTTGCCATATTTACTGCCTTAATGAAAAAGCCGAATGGTTCATGGAACCCATAAGGAATTGTGCGGTTTCATAAATTCCTCTGTGAACACTATGAGCTTGGCTGATGTGTGGTTTGTCTACACTGGCTAAAGCATGCTTCCAAATAAGTAACCAATCCGGAAAAATTGGCCAATGCCATTGTTTGAGAATAAAGCTATTTACTGGGAAGCTTTAAGTTCCCATGGGGCTTTATTTTAGAACAGCTTATCCAGTCAGTTCCTCATTGCAAACAAACCATTAAATCCCATCACCCTGAGTACTGGAATATTCCTAGGAAGTAAAGAAGTTTACACGAAGAACTGGACTTTGATTATTACATTGCATTATAGAATTACAGCACAGAAGCAACAAGTATGAGAACATCTCTATAAATTAACTGTGAGGTGAGAGAGACTAAAGAATGATTCAGATCATGATGGGAAAGATCCTAACTTTATCCAGTGTCATAAATTTGAATGCCTGCTATAGCTCAAAGCAGGGATGTGAGGGCACAAATAACTCACAGAACAGAATAGCTTCCGTCTATTAAGTTCTAGAAAATCCAGATTCAGAATCCAGTTTAGCACTTCTTTACATGTTTGCTGCAGAATTAAACCAAGAAAAGCTTCACAGTCCCTACCATTTACTTTTAAACATATACTTTCCTCCTGCTTGTTCTGAATAGGCAGTGTTTATAAAGCAACCTCTGTTCAATCAAAAGAATTATAGAAAAAAAATTATAGACATACCCATAACAGCAACAGAAGTAATTGGCCTGATTCCTTAATAACTTCAGGAATACCGAAAACAGCCATGAAAGCCCCAAAGAAAAACAACCAGGCAGTTTGTACTAGTTTGGCCAAAGTTTTGCCAATACTCAGTCTACTAGAAAACACACAAACACTGGTAAGAAAGAGCAGTTTTATATGCAACATCAGTAAAAGAAGATCTCGGGACAGCACGAAATAAGGTTTTACAGGTAGCACAGATGAGACACGGGCTCTGTCAGCCGAGTGCATCTGGAAGCAGGAGGTTGTATGCCGGGATCCACACACACACCCATCGGGAGAGGCTCTGCTCCCATTAACCACCGTGAGCCCACACAGAGCCCATCCCAAGAACTGCCGGAACACATGGATAGAAAACAGCTCTGTTTCAGGGGTGGAGGGACCCACACTGGAAAACAACAACCCGCTATTCCTCCTCTCCCAGGTCGCGTCCCTGGGAGCACCCGGAGCCCGGGATGTGCCGGAGGAGCTCTCCGGGCTGAGCGCAGCGCCCCGAGCCCCGCGGGTCGTGCTGCCCCTGCGCCTGCCGGAGCCCCTCGGCCCCGCACCGACCCCGCCTCACTCTCTCTCTCACTCACCTCAGAGCCGCGGCCTCGCCGCCCCGGCCCGGCCCGGAGCCGCCGCCCCGCCGGGCAGCGCCCGCAGCGCTCGCCGCCGCTCCGGCCGCCCCGCTCCCCTCGGGCCGTGCCTGTGCCCCGGGCGCGGGCGGCAGCGGCTCCGGCAGCCGCTCCCCGAGAGCCGCCGCCTCCCGCACGGGAATAACAGGAAGGGAGCGGGGCTGACCCCGGATGGGGAAGGCACCGCCCGCCGGAACGGGAACCGCGGCGGGGGGAGGCGGGCGCGGAGCCCGCGGGGCCGGAGGTGCCGCCGGACCCGGGCGATCGCGGCGGTGGGTGCGGAGGGGACCGAGGGGACGCGCGGGGTCGTCCTGCCCCGCGCTGTCCCCATTTCTTGCCATAAGGTCCTAAACACCCCCGTGCCCGCGGTCATCAGAGCGGGTCTGACCCAGCCCTGACCCTTTTCCCAGTTGGATCGCCAATTTTCTTTTACAGTCTGAGCTGCCACTGGGATCGAGTCGCTGTACGTGAGTCTGGTGTTGTCAGAGCGGCCAGCCGAGTGGATGCCCGTACAAATTGGAAATGGAAGAGAAATCTGTAACATTTAAAATACGCACTCCCAGCTGGTTTAGGTTTTCGGGGCTGGGGCACCTTGGTGAGAGCCAACAAGACGCAACAAGTGAGGATGGTATTGAGGTGGTGACAGGAAGGAGAGAAAGGGATAACCTGAGTGATTAATCATCAAGGCATCTTGGTTAATCGCTCTGTTTTCAAGGGATATTTATCCTTTCATCAAGAGATGGCATAAGCAACTTTTGGAGCCAGGTGTGAACACGGTGAGGGTATGGGTGAATTCTCTTCCATGTTCTGAAGGGAGCCTACAATAGAGCTGGAGAGGGACATTTTACCAGGGCTTGGAGTGGTAGGACTAGGGGTACTGGTTTAAAACTGAAAGAGGGGATGTTTAGATTAGATACTAGAAAGAAATTCTTTACTGTGAGAGTTGTGAGGCCCTGGCACAGGTTGCCCAGAGAAGCTGTGGATGCCCCATCCCTGGAAGTGTTCAAGGCCAGGCTGGATGGGGCTTGGAGTGACCTGGTCTAGTGGAAGTCCAACCCAAATCTTCTGTGATCCTATGGTTCTATGAATCTGATAAATGGTATGCTTTAAGATCTAACAAAAATTAGTGACAATGAGTGCATCTAACTGATGGATTCCCAGGTGGGTTGGCTGATGGCTGCTGGAAAGTCTGGGCGATGGTTTCAGCTTGTAGTGACTTCTCAGCACTTTCCTGTTCCAACGAAAAGGGGAGAAAAACCAACAGAAACTCCATATGCTTTTGAAACAGGGTGGCCCGACTGTACGGGTGAGGCCTTTGGGTGGCTCGAGGGGAAATTATTACTCACTTTGGCTGCGAGCAGCGTGAATAAGCTGAAGATGTTTATGTATGCAAATCAGGCTAATTGTAATTCCTGCTGCGAAAAACAGGATCTAAAATAAATAAATAAATAAGTAAATAAATAAAAGGACCTTGTGCAGTACCGCAGCTGAGCACTGCAGAATATTCGGAGCAACTTTCCGACGGCGTTGCAGCTCGTAATGCCATCAAGTGTGTGTTTCTGGGAGGCTCTTCCGAGCCCGGCCGGCCCCGCCTCGCCCGTCCCGCCCCGTCCCGCCCCTTGGCCGCCGTCACTTCCCGCAGCTGCCGGCTCGGAGCCCGCCGGCCCCGGCCCTGCTCCGGGGGCAGCCGCGCCGAGGGCAGCGCGGGGCCCGGCCCGCGGTAGGTGCGGGGGGTGCGGGGCGCGGGTTCTGCGGGGCCGGGGCTGCCCGTGCGGTCGGTTCGCTGCCGGGGGGGTGGCGGTGCCGGAGCCCCCCGGGGATGCGGGTGCCCGTCCCCGCCTCCCCGCGCTGCCGGTCTGGGCTCTGCGCTTCCAGAGCGGTGCGGCGGTGCCGGGAGCTCCCGCTCGGGTCGCGGTTGTTCCGAGGCGGTCGATGCCCGGACTTGTTTTTTCCACGTTCTCCATCCCCCCAGACTGCAAGGCAAGCGGCTTGGCAGGGATGTCTGCTAGCAGTCGGGATTTACACCGTGGTTTCTGATACCCCATTGACGTAAGAGATGGTTCTGGGTTACTGAACGTGTGCCCTCATCAGTAGATCAGTAGATGAGGGCACGCATCAGTGTACCTTAAGGTAGAGCTGTGCATGATGCGTGTTTGTTTGGTGCTGTCTTCAATTCCTGCAGCATTATAAAACAACCTGCCTTTCAGGATGAAGGTCTGGAGGCCCAGTCCGTGGCCAGAGGAAACTTTCTGGCACAATTACGTTAAGTGATGTCCATGTTTTGTTTTCTTTGAGAAGAAACACTTCCTTGTCTTGAAAATAAAACAGTGAAACTCACAGCTTCTTCATCATTTCTGTAGATTTCATCACTGTTGTTAGTTACCTCAACTGCATTTAGAAACTAATTCTGGTGGGAACACAGATTTCTCTATTTGGTTTACACCTACGGCCAAGGAAGGTCACATTGTGCCTTCCCCATCAAACGGTGCTCAGATGTGAGGCCAGACCAGCTTGTTTCCCAGTACTGTGCTGTTGTCAGAGGTTGCTCCCCATTTCTGTGCCACCAGCAGTGCCTGGGCACTACCAGGCTGTGGTACTCGGGGCATGAAGTCTGGGTCTCCTCCTTCAGTGCTGCCCTTGGGATGCCCCAACTTGAGAGGAGGGAGACAGGCTGTGTGCCCTTGCCTCCACCCAAGGACAACTGGCATGGAATGGAAGCATATTCCAGCCCATGCAGTGTGTTGGAGAAGGCATGGCTGAGCTCTGAGAGGTGCTATCTTGAGGCAGAATGTCTGCTCAGCTCCCCCTGGAGAACTGCAGGTCCTTACCCTGCTTTGGGCTGTGCCGTTAGGAGTCCTTGGTGATGGACATTTCTCGTTCCTTTACTGTGTCCTAGTGTAAAGATTTTGCAGCTTCTTATGTGAAGGGAAAGGAGGCATTAAAAGTGTTCTTTTACCTTCCCCTGGACAGAGTATCTGTAACAACCAACAGTGGAGGGAGGGTTAAAGGGACATGTAATTAAGCTGAATTTGAGTGATTTTTTTTTTTTTTTAAATATCAGAAAGAAGGAAATCAACATAATTTGAGCAATTTCAGTGGTGAAACAGTGCTGTCAGAATATAGTTGCATATGCCAAGTCAAGAAGTTCTAATATTGAAATTGTCCATGCAACCTCAATTTTATCTTCAGACTACTGCTTACTTTAAGGAATAGTAAATGACCTTAAAGATTTTCTAAGAATATTACATTACATTACATCCTTTCTCCTGTGGGTACAGACCCTGTAAGCACTGAGTCCTGTCTTGTATATGACAAATCCCATTTGTGACAGTTGCAAGAAGACATGATGCAACAAACGCTCATGCAAAATTAAGCAGATGAATCTCGATTGCCATTTACTGTACATCTCTTTATGTTGCTCTATAAAGTATTTGGCTATACTTTACTCCTATTTTAAGGTAAGAGGCCCATTATACTGGTGTAATAAAACTCTGAAATTAGCTGGCATGCTTACCTGCTTGCACAGTTGATATAAACTGCCTTGATAGGCCTGTGTTATGATATATTTAACCATCATGAATATGAGCTCAGTCCATCTGTAGTCCCACTGAAATTAATTAGTCTACAGAGTACTAGTTGAGGAAACTAAAGATAAAAAAGTTTCTTCTGTACGGTTTAACCAGGAACATATATGCTGAAAGTGGGAGAGAAGTTAGGTAACACTCCAGAATTTACACTGCTGATGGATTATTTGCATCACACAATTCCTGTGTGCCTTCCTCCTTCTTTGTGGTGGATTCCAGCTATTTTTCATTATATCGGTTTTGATTTGTTTTTTATGGTTACATCATGTTAGTTATAGTTAACCTGGAATTTCACAGAGCCTTGGTGGTAAAGGACTATTCTAAATAGGAAAACTCCTGCTGGCTCTATTACTGTCTTAAAACCTTGTCCCCAAGGCAGTGCATGCTGCTCTTTTTTTTAAATTATTATTACTATTTATTATTTTTAATTTTTTTCCTTACCTGTAGTTACTAATAATAACTGAACTGCCCCTAGTCTTGTATCAGTGTAAGTCTGGGTTTGAGGTAAACATTTCAGAAATGTTTTTGTCACTTGAGTGCTTTAGTCCCACTGATCTTTTTTTATTGTGATCTTTTATTTTTCCTAATGGTACATAGATCTCTCTGGGAAGACTTTCAAAGATAATACAGTACGTAAAATTGCAGGTATCAACTGGGATTTTCTATAGCTTTAGTGTAGAAGGTATTTGTGTCCAGCTAATTTTAGCAGATCGAAAATCCCGGAAGTTACCTCCGATAAATGCTATTTGCTTCTCCAGGTTCCTGAATGCCTTTGAATTCAAACTCTGTTTTCAAAAGTGACTGATTTTCCAGAAGTGTTGGTTTAAAATGCAGATGGGTCTCATTATTTGCTTAAACAAATGAACAAAGCCCATAGGATAAACATGGTTGCTGCCAATGCAGCCCTAGCTGGAAGTGATCTGCAAAGGCCAAGATAATGCTGCTCTTGATCCCAGTGTGGCAGGGAACAGGATTTGTTATGATAAGAAGCTAATAAGACATTGACAAAAGTAACTGTGCCTTGATTCATAATGTGAGTGTTCTGCATTATTATAGGGATGTTCGTCCGGGCTTTATTTAATTATAAACATTAATTAAATAAATCTCTCAGAACCTCTTGTTGGAAATGTAGGGCTAGTTCTAATAACTTGAATTAACTGAGAAATAATTGAATAAAGGTTAATATGAGATAAGTTCTCCATTTTGTAGCAGAAGATGCAGCTTTAAATGCTACACTGGTTGTAGTTAGTAAAGGAAGTGTGAGAAATAGCTCAGGGTCATTCAAGAGAGCCCTTGGGAGCTGACTGTGTACAAGATGTGCTCCAGGTGATTCCTACTCTTTCTCTTTTGTTACTGGAGAAAAGTTACATGTAGAGTATCTCTCCTCTGGAAAGTCTTTGTGAGTATTTGAGGGATAGATGTGTTTATGTGTTTTCTATCTACCTATATACAATAAGCCTGCTTCAAACTATTTTGATTCTTTGTAAGTCATCATGGCAGTAATACACTGTAATATTTGTTTAGGTCTTGTAGTGTGAGTTTGTCCTTAGGCTCCCAAAAGAGGATGTGGCTAGTGGTGGTGTCCTTTCCATTAACACAGCTTTATGTGCTGTGCTTGTTGAATGTCTCCACTTCTTGTGGTCATGGAGCAGTGGGGGTGTGTGCTGTCAGTCAGGTACTGTGGGTGGTCAGGAATCTCCCACCTGTCCAGGAGGGTGCCATGGGATCCACTTCTTACACAATATCTTTTGATCTGTCCCCAGTTGTGGGTTAAAGGCTTATAAACTGACCTTACCCTGCTTGGTGTTGTGAAAAGGCACAAGGTAGAGGCAGTGGTTACAGAAGTTGCCTCTGGATTGTCAGTGTTCCTGTTAGCGCTGCTTGTTTCAGCATCTGTGTCTCTCTGGTCTAGGTCTGAAGACAACTCCCTCCTCCTCCTTCAGAAGTAGCATGCCCACAGTCTTCCTGGCCAATGATTCTTCTACAGCAATCAACAGTTCTTCCTCATCCTGAGAAGCCTTCATCTCTTCCTATGTCAGTGGCTACAAGGCCAAGAGCCAGCTCACCACTGTCCCCACCAAAGTCTGTTGGACTGGGGCCTTCCTTCCATCACGCACAAGAAGAAGAACTTGCAAAGGTGGTGGAGCAGGACCCTATGCTGGAGGAACTATGTAAGCCCCTGTGCTGTAAGCTTTGCAATGTCACCCTGAATTCGGCCCAGCAAGCCCAGGCTCATTACCAGGTAAGGAGAGCAGCAGGAGGCACAGCTTTTGGGGCTCTGCTGCATCTGCAGCTTGTGTAGACAATCCTGTGCCAGTGTGAGCACTGCCAGCAGCGTTGCTGTGGCAGCACAGAGGGAAGTGTGGGCTAATGCACAAGGACTAACTCAGCTTCTCGAGGGGGTTTTCAGTGCTGCCTTGGGGTGGCTGCACATCAGCAGCAGCATTTGAGTTGGCTTATCTGGAGCTACCTTTGCATCATCTAATGGACTGAAACTGCTCTTTAGACATCCTCACCCTGCTTGGATTTGTTGGTTGTCCAGACATGCTGCAGTGCTTTCATTTAAGGTATCATCACTGGAGCTTTTTGCAAAAACTTTGTCCACAGGGACAGAGAAGTGGTACCAAGATGGCTTGGGTGAAAAACCAGACACTTGTGATTTTCCCTTTGTTTTATGAGACTTATATTTCACCTCTACATTCAGTAACACTGAACTTGATTCCAGACATGATTTTGTGAGGCCTGGACAGATTTTTTTCTGCTGGATCCAGGTGTGCCCTTAGAAGAGGGGCTGCTGCCTTCTGTTTATCACTGTCTGCTTTCTGAGGCTACACACACCACTGATCTGGGGGGGGCATTTATGCAAATGCTCTCATCAGCTGGGGCAGCTCAGACCAAATTCATTTTGTTTGAGCTGATCTGGTTGAGCTGCCTGAAATGGGGTAGGAACTCTGCATATGCTTCTTGCTGAGAGGTCGAATATGTCAGCCTTGCAGTACCCTATTTTACTAGCACCCTCTCTGCCTAGTGCTGTATTTGTGTGAGATGTGGAAATAGTGACTTATCCACCCATGAATCAAAAGAGGGTTCTCCATATCCTCAGGATACCACGCACAGATCTCAGATTTGCAGGTGGCCCTGAAAAAGTGGTATCCTGTTAGTGTGGGGGTAGGTTGAATTAGTGTTACACTCGCAATGTCTGATTTCTGCCATGAGGGTACAGGTGTGCATTTGTACTACAAACTTGCATTTATACCTTACTGTGCATCCACAGTGCATATACATATTCTCATATAGTTCTACCAGGTTTCCAGAACACCAAGAAACACAAAGAACTATGATACATGTTTTCCAAGGGAAAATAAAATATGAAACGGGGTTTTTTTACATTCAATCTCATATTTTAACTCATGTTTGCAATCTCCTGAAGAAGAGTGTGTGTGTGTGTGTGTGTGTGTGTGTGTGTTCAGGCTTATCCAAAAACTTGCAAAGCAGTTAATGTTTCATGTTTAAAATACGGAATAGTGGTTTTAAGTGAAATGGAAACATATTGAGAAACTAATTGTAACCTTACTGAGAAAATCAGTTGAAGAGGAGGCCAAGTCATGCTAGGTGATGAGCATTTTGGAGAAAGGGAGGGATGCCAGCATCTCTCAAGTTCAGAGCTGTTATTTTCTGAGTGACCTGAGCTGCCATCTTCATGGCCACTTTCTCATTTTGGTTTCTGTATCATTTTTCATTCAGTGTAAGATACTATTGTTAGGACAGTGGTTAATCTGAGTTCTCTTTCCAGGGTAAAAACCACAGTAAGAAACTCCGAAATTACTATGCTGCCAACAGCTGTCCGGCACCTGCCAGGATGAGTAATGCAGTTGAGCCTGCCCCACCTCAGGTTGTCTCCCTTCCCACCCAGGTAAGGCATGGGAAGGGGACTGAGATCACACTGCTCACTTGTCACCTAACCCCCAGTAAGGATAACTAGATCTCAGACTTTGAGGATTACTGCAGGAACTGGGAGGGAATTTTCCTTGTGATGGCACAGGATGGTGGAAGTGGCCTGTTGTGAGCTGTTTGCTTTCCTTTGAAGATGCAGATATTGATCTGCTCTTGCAGCACAATATTGGACTTCAAATGTTCTATTTCTGCCTGGCAAATACTTTGATTCCTAGGTAAGTCTGATGTGCTGCTGATTATGGTTGTTTAAAGGCAGGTATAAAACAGCGTTGTTGGAACTGGGTTTGGATGTGAGGGTGTGGCATCTGCTCTGCACAGTCATCCCTCTGTTGTGTGGGGGAAGCCTACATGGAAAAAGTGCTTTGGTGCTCTTACACCCATTGCCCAGGGCTGTTAGCTAATTCCTCTTTTGTTGTTCCTTTTGAAGTGCTCATTCCGGTGTGTAGAGTGAATGGATTGTTCCCTCAGTGATCCAGATTAATTCTGTTTTGGGCACATTAGAGGCAAAAGAGATGATTTTTTCTTTCTCCTAGAATTCGTCCCTTGGGATTGTCATGGGATGTGGCAGCTAACCTGGTTTTTGCATGTGACTGTGCAGGGAAGCACAGCTGGGCCGCGGGGTTTGAGGCTGTGCCTGTCACTTCCCAAAGCATAAGCCTCTGTCTGTAGGGAAGCAAAGAGCATTTGCAAAGTGGCAGATTGTTCCAGACGCTGCTGGAGCCACCAGAGGGAGACTCAGCCCTGTGTAACTTGGCTTTGCAGCTCACAGATCCCCACTGGGATCAGTGGGGTCCAGTCCAGAATACTGGGACTTGGCTGCTATACCTTCCAGAGTATCTGATGGTGCTTTCTTTGATGGAGAAGATGGTTCATGGCAATAAAAATACCACTCTGTGGCCACGTGAGGATTCACATCGTAAGACAGAAGTCAGAATAGACAGTGTCTATAAGCTTGAGCAGTATCAAAAGAGATGTGAAAGAAAGTCGACTTGTCAAGTGCCGCAGTGACATGGCTGAGTGAATCACTGCTGCTGCACTGTTTACAAAACACTCTTCCCTGGATGTTACATGCTGAGGAGATGCAGTTGCTGCCCCAATCAGTGTATTGGTCTGACTCAACAGGCAAGGTGTCCTTCATATGGCAGGAGCTACTCATGTGAGGCTGCGTCTGTCCTTTGAAATCTGGATCCTCCTACTTGAAGGGTAAGGATCAGAGGTTTGGCAGCTTTGCTATTGGTTTTTTCTTCTTGCTGTGGTCAGGGAGCTGTGTAAAGACAGGATACTGTGGAGAGGTTAGGTCCACTGTAAATAGAGAGCGCTATTCATCAGCTCCCAGCAGTCAGAAGTAGAGGAGTTAAATCACTGCTGTGATGTAAACAAGTCTCTATGGCTACTGCAGAGGTACAGGGTGTTTGTTCAGATTGTTTTCCTCTCCATCTGAGGCCAGAGATTTGCCCAGATCTCTACGAATTGGCAGCTTGTCCTGGAGGCTGAGGCAGGAAAAATGAAGTTCTTGTAAGAACACTTCAGAGAGAACTCGAGAATGTCCTAATCCACATGCTTTAATTCCAGCTCTCTTGCTGTCTGATGAAGATGATACCGGTCTCAGTCCCCGTGCTTGAAATATTCCAACAATTTAACCTTCCTGTGTTTCACATGCTGTCTCTCCCTTTGCTGCTAGATGGGATCCAGTAAGCCAGGTGGCCGAGTGATCTTGGCTACAGAGAACGATTACTGCAAGCTCTGTGACGCCTCGTTTAGCTCTCCGGCCGTGGCACAGGCTCACTACCAAGGGAAAAATCACGCCAAAAGGCTGCGCCTTGCAGAAGCACAGAATAACTCATTCTCGTAGGTATTGTTCAACTTCATGCTCAGGCTGAAAGCATGTGGCAGTGTCTCTGGCAGTCATTTCCTCAGAAAGCTCTGAATTGCAGCTGCTCATATTTGTTTAATCTTCAGGGATGCGTCAGAGCTGGGCAAGCGAAGGGCAAGGAAAGAAGGGAGTGAATATAAGATGATGCAGAACAGAAGAAATATGTATACAGTTCAGAACAACACAGGTAACTTGAAGCTTGCATCTGTTCTATAGTTGGAATAGTAACAAATAATAAACAGACTTGTTTGTGTTCTGTTTCTGAGGTCTGTTTTCTCAGAGACAGGTTGTGAAAGGAGCTGGTCCAAGCTCTGCTGATCCTTCATGAATGCATGTTTTTTTTCCCAGCTGCTAAAGTTGCTTTGTTTTGTCAGCCTGCTTGTTAGTTCTGTTTCTCAGTTTGTAACTTAATTTACCATCTGCCTATCTCTAAGGCTGCTCTAAGTGGTGACAATTTTCCTGCTTTATTTTCTTGGCAGGTGGCCAGGTGCTTTGACTCCTACTGTGGCACATCAACCTGTACTTGCACTCCCATGACCAGAATGAGAGAGCATGTTAGCCTCCCTCTAAGACCATCTGTTCTAGCGTAGAGTCCTTCCTCAGGTGTTAGACACTAACTTTGCCTCTTTACTATGATTTAAAGAGCACAGCATCTATTTCTCTTTTTCATTTTAAGTTGTTTTATGTGCACACATTAACTGAAACCCTGATTCCCAGTGAAGCTTGGTTTAATCATGTCATTCTAACCAGTGTCATGTGGAAAAGATAAAACTTTTAAAGTCCTGTTCAATATAATTTTGTGACTTCTAAACTGAGGCAGCTTATTCTAATCAAAAGACTGTTCTAGTTCTGGAATTGGATGGTTAAGGAAAAATAAGAACTGATTCATTACTTAAATTGTAAGACTCCTAATTTTCAAAGCCCTATGGATTTGCAGTAAGACTGGGGCACTAAGCCCACTCTACTACTTTATAAAATTCTGTCAAGTGCTGCTGCCCTGTGTGCTGCACCCCAGTAAATCTGGATATCACCGGAGAAGTTGTGGGAACATAAGATTCAGACTCTACACAGTTGGAGAAGCAAATCTCTGTCTGCTTTTTAGTCATTCAGTGGGCTTAGAAATTTTAACTGTGCCGCCTCAAGCTTTTATTTCTGACAGATAAAAGAGGCTTTTCCGTTGACTCCTCAGGTCCCTACTTCAACCCCCGCTCGCGCCAGAGGATTCCTCGGGACCTGGCCATGTGTGTCACGCCCAGTGGCCAGTTCTACTGCTCCATGTGCAACGCCGGCGCCAGCGAGGAGATGGAGTTCAGGCAGCACTTGGAGAGCAAACAGCATAAAAGCAAAGTGTCCGAGCAGCGGTACAGGAACGAGATGGAGAACCTGGGCTATGTACAATGACGCGCCACCCCCGGTCGTAGTTTGCAACTAGAGCAGCTTGTCTCTCGCCTGCTGTTTGCCACATGCCCTGCTTTGTGCTCCATTTGATAGGAGTATGCTCTCGAGCTATACATGTAACACCTGCAAACTTAATGGTATGGTTAGATTTTTTTTCTATCATAGTCGGCAGGATGACGCTGTGCAGGACATGAAGTGTTTTTTGATGTTTGTTTGCTAATTACCTAAGGCTCTTCGTTGTGTTGAGTGGCGGGGAGGACTTGGTCTTCTCCTCAGCCTTCTGCATGAATATGCAAAGCCCAAGAAGTGCTGGGAACTTCTGTGGTTCAACCACGTGGGTAGACCATGTGCAAAGCCTGCTCCCCTCTTTGCACACCACAGAGCAGTGCTCCAGAATGCCTCCCTACAGCAGACTGAATCTCTGGGCAGCTTGTAAAAGGGGGGCAGGAGTAGGGCCTGTGAATGTGTGAATTAGGTGGTGTACTTGTCCGCACATTGCTGCTTCTGGCCCCCATTACAGCCCAGAGTAGGTTCTTTCCACATCCTCGTAGAAAGGCTGTGCATACCTCTACTCCTTGGAGGGTCTTGCCTCTTACTGCTTCCTCTGCAATGCAGATTTCGTTCTGAACATCTGACATTGATTTCAGCTGATTAGCCCCATTCAGAAATACTCTCTTCTACCAGTTAGCAGTGAGAAAAGATTCTCAATGTTGTTGCCTGGACACCTTAATGCACCATGGGTGTAGCTCATCTCCCTGAAGAGAGTCTCTGGGGATCTCAGTGGTTAATTAAGTGAATTGGAAAGCAAACCTGCTCAGGTGAGATGTGCTTTGCTCTGATTCTGCCTTAGACTGAGTAGGGTTGAGAATAGATTGGAAGGAACTGTCAGCTGTAATGTCTTTGCATAGTGATGTAGAAGAGAGCAAGTGTTGGTTTCTGGCCTGCAGCTCTTGCTCTGGGAGAGCAGGGCTGCCTGGACCATGGGTAGCAGATATTGGTGTATCCCACTTCCATGCCATTCCCTGGATAAAGCCCAATGGGTGTTATAGGGCAAAGCTGAAATGCTCATTTGAACTAGAGCTACCAATACTGGATGATTTTGTTCCCCCCTCTTTCTTTTTCCATCTCAGGATGGGTTTTAATTCCATTCCTTGATGTGACCTTGCTGTTTTAGGGACCATCAAAAATCCAAAGTTAGGTAGGATTTAGATGTCAGAGGTGATGATTGTTTGAGTAACAGCTTTTTGGTTCACACAGAAGTATTCATGAAACTTGTTAAGCAACTTTTTAGGTGTAGACAAACTCAAAGGGTGGGTGTTTGTTTTGATATTCCTTAGCAAAAGTAGAAAAGGGATAAAGAGCAGAAGTAGGGCATTTATTCTTCTGCTTGTTTAGATAGATGTGAGGAGCTGTGAATGGAATCCAGTTCGGTTTTTTTAAAACATTGGCTCCAGTGGCAAGTGCAGCATGTAGGTGGCCTTTGTTGGACCTGATTCCCCACTGTGCTGCTGCAGCTGTGCCCTGGTGTAGCTTCACTGACTTCAGTGGCAGGTGCAGAGAGAGGGTCCAGGAAGCGTTGTGGCTCATGTCTCACCTCTCTTCAGGCAGTGCATAATGTACCTGGTGCATAATGTTTAAAGCAACTCCCCCACCTCCTTTTTTTTTTTTTTTTTTTTTTTGCCATTCTGTCCTGCCTCTTGCATTCCAGAAGGACTTTCTGCTTGCCTTAAAAAATGAAAAATGAGTAAACTAACAAAAAAATCCAGATAGTTTTTATTCATCTTTCTAGTCCACCTTCAAATGATTTGTTGCACTTGGCTGCTCCTCAGAAGCTGAGTACTGTTTTCTTTAGTTACCTGAGCATCAGGCAGCCATACAACCTTAATGCAGCCTTCCTAAATCCAGGCAAGGTGAGCTCTTGCACACCAGCCAAAACCAACCCCCTAGATTATTCCATGCCAATCCTTGCTCTGCAGATACAGGCCGAGCAATGGATGTCCTCATGAGTGGGATTCCCTTCTCCTCCTTTGTGCAAAACTCAGTTAAATGGAGTTTGTGCACTGGAGCACGTTAGGAGGTAGGGGGACAGGTGCCCAGGTTGTAAAGCACTCACTGAGCAGTTCTGACAGCCTGTAAGTCTGTTTCTTCTGTGCTTTCCTGCCCCTGCCTCACCCTCTGTGTAGCCTTGAAGAACATTCCTCTTGCCAAAATCTCTCATCAGCCTTTCGCCCTCCTCGTTTGCAGTCACAAGAGGGCTCTGATTTTCTCTTTATGCTCTGTCCCTTGGTTTGCCAGTGTGACCCCACTGTGCAGAGGGACAGAGGGAGTTAGATGAGCCTCACCACGATGTGCTCCACCAGAGTGATCCCTGCATTATGATTAAACATCCCTTTGGCTGTAAGTTAAAGCGTGGCGTTTTCCACAGGCTGCAGTTAGTAGCAGAAAAGCACCACTTTGTGAAATAGGAGCTGTAGGAGCTGTAGGTACTGGTGCTGCGTGGCTTTATTGCTTGGGATGAGGAGACATTTTCACTTGCTTTCATGTGTCCCAAAAGTCAGCTGTTCACCACTTAGCTTTGGTTGCTGCTTCTGCTTCCAGCCCAGCCATCCGCTCCTCGTTTGGCATTTCCAGTGACTGCTGGAGGTGTCAGAACTTGGTTTGCTCCAGCTGGTGTTTGCTGGTGCTTTTGGGAGGGTGTATGAGGGAGGTGCAAGGGGCTGTTCTTGCAGGTTCCTCTCTGCATGGGGCTTAGTCTGGTTTTGAGGTATGGCTTCAGTCTGCCCTGAACAGAGTCTGCTTTGTTTTGTTAAAGGGATCACAACAGTGTGCTCATCCTGGGAATTTCAAAGTGGTGGGTTACATAGCAGGTATAAAGCAGACAGTGGGACTCAAGTGACAAGAGCAGGACAGGTTTCCTGTGTAGGAGGAAAGATGTCTTGCTGGGAGAAGCAGCTGGGACGCACTTTGCCCCAGTGCTCTGTTGTGGTTCTTCCTACAAGTGACCGAGGCTTCCTTCTCCCTCTTCAGCATTGCTACACAGCTTGTGATCTTCCCACTCTCCCTTCAGCATAGGGAGCTGTTGACTGCAAAGAGAAAACACCCCCCCTCACTGTTGTTATTAGGGTTCAGGACAATCCAAACTCACACTTGTTGGTAGGAGAAACTGAGTGGGTCCTGATTTTGTTTCTTTTTGTGAAAGGTGTTCTCCAAATTAGTGTTCAAAACACAGATTGAAAACACATCCTGGGCAAAGCCTCTTGGACATAGATGGGCTGGGGAGAACATTGTACAGCTGAAGTACCATTTTGCAGACACAATTAATCTTTTTCTCATGTTAAACAAAGTACCAAACCCAAGAAACAGGACTTCTGTGAAGCTGTCACATTGGCCAGTAGGTTAATGACCTTTGCTGCTAGAAACAAAATGTAAATCAATGTGTTCATATTTATTTTACTGTACTGACCACTAATTGATTTGTTGATATTTAAGGCATTATGCTGGTAGGTTGTTTTTGTTTAAGTAGGAAAATTCTACATCGCACTTTGCTTTTGGATTGGAGCAATTATTTATTATATTTGTGAAAATGTTTTTCTCCCATATAAGTATTGTTTTCTTTCCCTTGATGCAAAAAAACCCCACCAAACCTATACAGGAAAACCCATCCCAAACCCAAAAAAACCCTGAACCAAATCCAACCAGTGGAACTTTGTTTCTTTTTATGCTAAACAAAATGGGGATTTCCTTGCAACTTGTTACTAAATGTCCATTTCTAATTTCTTTTTCCTCGAATGGTTCCTTTACTAACTTGGAATAATATTTTTAGACATTAAGTTCATGCTTCATTTAAGCATTTCTTTTAAGGCAAGGAAGTAAACCATGTGGAATCCATGAATTTGTGAGGAGTATGAAAGTGTTACTGTTTTGTTTGTATTAAGCATTAGCTGTCATTTTGCTTTCTGCACTAATGAGTAAATGTGTTAAAATCTTGCCTAACACTGGTCTATTTTTGACTTTTGCTTTCTTCATGTACATTGAAAAGAACAATGAAAACTTCTGTGGAGTTGCTTAGGATGGTCATCAGTGTAACAAAATGCAGATTTTTTTCTGTAAAGCTGCTTGTCTTTTTTCCTTTCCTGGATGCCCATTATAGGGCATTAGAAGGGAAAGCTATTGCCATAAGCATGAATTCATATTTTAGCTTATTAATGCATGATGTCCTTTTGCTACATTACTTAAATGATGCTCTCACTGTAACCACTGGGAATCTTGCCCGGGTCGGGAGTAAATGAAATACCTGAGCCAAAGATACTATATTGGCCAGGGCCAGGCAAGGTACATTGCTAAAATTTGTCTTTTACTCCTGTGTTTGGATTACAACACTCTCAAGGTTTTGCTTTTTGAGGACTGAGTAGCTGGTTCTTTAAGGATTTGGTTTTGCTCCCTTTAAAATAGTTTCAAGTATGTTGACTTTAGTTGAGTAGGAGCAAGCCTTGAAAACCTTCAGGAATTTCATACTGCTGATGTTTTCTCTTTTATGTGTTTTTTGTTTTGTGCTTTTTAAAAAAAAAATTTACAACCATGTGTACCAGGATGCTCTGGATGAGATGGACATCTGCTGCTAGTTATGGAAAAACAAATGCCACAGTTGCCAAAGGATAACAGAAAATGGAGAAATACAGTTTCTTTGAAGTTAGTGGCTAAGCTTCTCTTATTTTGAGCTAGGCTGGCTTCTTTGCCACCTGCATAAAGTTGGAAGGGAAAATAAAATCCACTTTGAAATTAATGTAGTCAAACAGTAGTTCTGGGATCTCTCCTTTTAAAAACGTATCACAAATAAAACTGTCTTTTTACCTGAAATATCTGCAGGTAAGGGCAGGACTGTGGATTTTTAAAAATAAAATCAGTCTGTGTTTTGCAGGGGAAAAATTACTTGATTTAATTTCCTTCTGCATCTGTACAGCAACACCATTTGCAAGTGCATGTTTCATCTGGAGCCTTCTTGTCAGGTTGTTTTGTTGTTTTGTACATTTTTCCGTATTTTCTTTATATTGTACTGACCCTTGTGAGGGAATACTTGATTTAAATGATTTTTTTTTTTCTTCTTCATTATATAATAAATCATCTTGCTCTTACTATTGTACAGCCCTGTGTTTGGTATTGCTACTGCTCACGGCTGGACTATGCATGACTGAGTTGATTTTAGCCTAGCATCGAGTGCAACTACGTGAATATGTTTTAACACACTGATAAAGGAGTATGGTTCGGGGTGGAATTTGTTGCTGTGGAGGAGGGTCATTTACTTTCAGGTGTTACTGAAAGCCAGCTGAGAGCTGTCTGGCTTCAGGAGGGGTTGGGAGTGCTCAGCATCTGGCAGGATGGGAGCCAGAAGGTACAGGAAAGGCTCTGTTTCCATTTGCTTTCCCCTTGAGAAGACATCACAAGCTCTGCAATAGCCCCAGGCTGAACCACAGACTGACTTTCAACTCTAACTTTGAAAAGGTGGGGACAAGCTGAGCCCGATACTTACATTTGCTCATTTTTTTTTTTTTTTTACCAGTGTGCTCTCTCCCTCTTTCATTACTTGAGGGCTCCAAAAGAGCATATGCTTACGCAGCATGGATGACTTTCCAAACAAAAAGGACATTCTGAACTGGAGCCTCGGAAGCAGAGAAAATCTGGTGGTTTTGAGTTCAGCTCAGGTAAGAGAAAGGCGTTGCCCTTCCTTGGTGCTGCAGCCATGCTGTTGGTGCAGTGACCTCTTGACCTCAAGGGCAGTGTCCTGGTGGCACACCTGACATTTGGGATGTGTGACTGCTGTTGAGGCACAGCTCTGGGTGTATGAGCAGCTGTGAACAGGGATGTGTCCCTGCACTCCCCTGTCCTCTGTTATTCAGGGCATCAGACCATTACAGAGACTACTGACACTAGTGGAATTATCCTGATTTACCATTTGGGATGAGAGCTGCCTCAGTGCTTAGGTGACTTCTGTGCTAACAAAGCAAGAGGCTTTATGTATTCTCATTTATGGTAAATAGAGTCATAAAAACTTGTAAGTGCAGTTTAATGTTAAATCTGACCCCAGCCCTTCACTGTCTTATGCCCATCCAGGCTGTGCTGTGTTCGATCATCCCAGGAAGCAGAGAGGAGCAAACCTCTACAGAGCAGAATGTCCCCATTATCGTGTGTTAAAGCACTGCCTTTTTAATACTTACATGTGGTAATTGTGTTTTATATCAATTCCATGGCAATTTGGTACAGCCAAAAACCCTAGTGACACACAGAGATACATGGGCACCCTAATTCAGAGTCACAGGCATTTGTTAAGTTAGTCAGCAAAGAAAATACTGCAAAAAAGAGATGAAAATCTTAAAGCCTAAATGTAGGATTTCAAAGCATAAATAAATAGCCCTGTGTCTGCTTCAACAATTACCCTGGTGTCTAAGGATCTCACTTAGTTATCTTGCAACATGCTACAGCTGAGGAAGTAAAGTTTGGGGGGAAAAAAAAAAAAAGAGATTTACCCAGAAAGTCCGTGGCTGAAAAGGAAGATTGAACTCAAGGCCTTTAAATACCAGGCTGCTGATCCTGCCTCATCTCCATCTAGCCTCCCTGTTCACAGGATGATGAAAATGACTGGATTTTAAAACCAATTTGATTAATAACAGTTGGCCTTTCATTGTTTATATAGCGGCTTTATAATGCATTAGGAAATGGACTTTAGCATGTGGTTTAAATAATGAATCCTGGCAGAGAGATCTTCCAATATTGCTCTGCCATTAAACCTTGGTGGAGAGGTAGAAAAACAGCAGCTTTTAGGAGGATTGTAAAGGGTGCAGGTTTGCAAAGCACAGGTTTGGAGGCTCTTCTATATTCATTTATGTCCCCTTCACATAAATTCTCTTTATTCCTACTTCTAGTTCTGCTAGAGTGTTTGGATTGAATGCTGCTTCTCTGTTTGGGAATAGTAATGAGCTGCTGTAACAGATAATGCTGAGGATTCATTGGCCTATCCTTCAGTAAATGACACACTCTCAACTGGCCTTATTCCACTGGGCTTCCCTCACCTCTCTACCTGTGTGAAACAGGAGCAGAGCTGTTTAAAGTCAGTGGAATTACATGAGTGTAAAGAGAGATAGGAAGATTATCCACAGTGTATTATCTGAGACTACGGAATGTGGCAGGTGTTTGCAGTACATATAAAGATGTTAAAAAAGTATTAATCTAAGACTTGCTTCTTAGTATCAAGGTACAAAAAAGGTACTGTGAGGGAAGGAACAAGGTGTAGGGTTATAAGAAGAGATGAACACAGTTGCATGATAAATAAAATATGCTGCGTTTGATGTGTCTGTGGAATTCTGTGCAGGAATTCAGTATTTATCTGAAGAAGCCAGACTATGTACTTAACTAAATGCAACAAGACCAATAGTGTGAAAAACACGAAAGTTGAAATGTAGGTATGAGAAAAACTCTGGAAAATCAAACGGCCAAATAAATCCCTGTGGACCAGAAGAGATGATGACATAGGGATTAACACCTGATATTTTGCGGAGTCTGGAAAGAATACTTCAGAACTAAGGGACTTGTAAAAACAACACCATGATGTCAAAAATCTCTGTTTGCAGCTGACAAGAGACTTTGGGGGTTGAGATATCATTTATGACAATAGCTCCTTTTGCTCTGTGGGAACTTGTATGGGGGGGGATTGTTTCTGCAAAGAGTGAGGATCCTGTGCAAGGCAGGGCTGGCTGTGGTCTCAGTAGCCTTGAGGGATTCATTCCTCTCTTCTCTGACCTGCCATGTTTGTGCTTGCATGTCCCTTCAAGGACTTTTCTTCCTTGGTATTGTCCAGTAATTATGAGAGATCATTTTCCAGTAGCTCCTTACTTCAACTACCTCTAACATTTTGCAGCATCTCAGCAGCAGCATGTTGGGCTTAATTAGGAAATGGCCAAACTAACCAATACCTGGGAGCCTTGGACAAGTATCTTATGTTTGTAAAAGCTGGTGAGCACCTGCTGTTCGTGGAATAGTGATAATCAGAGCATGTTTGGATTAGCTGGTCTGAATTCAGACAGAGGAACAATGCTATTTGTCTTGAGGATATTGCATTTATTCATGTAGGTGGGATTATGGGTTGCTGGTCTGTCTGGTACCCAGGCACAAGAGCTGGATACTTCTCAGAAGTTGCCTCCTCTTGTGACTGCTCTCAGGGACTATGTCTTTGAGAATCTGTTTCTGACTAGTCTATCTTTGGTTTACCTTGTCACACAGTCAGAGAAGTGTAATTAATAGGACGCCTTTTATAATGTTTGTTTAACCACTTTGATTTAAAAGTCTGTTTACTTGTGTGAAGCGCAGATTTTTATTATGCAACCCTCAAGTAATTTCTAATGGATGTTGTTGAAAAGTAAAAAGAAAAGTGATAACAGAAGAAGAATATAAATAAAAATAAGAGATGTTTCAAGGTTGTGGTGACCCCAGGCACACAAAACTGAGGAGGTAGAAGTAGGAGGCAGCAGTGGATAGTACCGGTCTGTCTTTTGCTGATCTCGCGGTCCCAAGACACACTCTGGATGTTCAGCTGCCTTGTTGCAATTATACCCTTGAAATAATGTCTGATTAAATCCGGGCTGTGCTGCTGACCGTTTGTATTAGCCTTCCCTCGAGGCTGATCTCCTGCAGTTCCAGACAAGAGGCAGGATGCAGGAGGCTCAGGGATCGTTCCGCACAGAGGAGCAGGCTGAGCCTTCCCCTGCACTCCCTTCCCACACAGGCAAAATGCAGCAGGCTGGGTTAAGCCCTTGTCCTTGGGGTGGGCTGTGTGTTAGCCTGGTGTCAGCACAGAAGAATGACCATTATTAAAATGTAAGATGTAGCCACATACCCAAAGCTTTGAAAGAAGCGTTGGAGGCTGCGGGTGAACAGAGCACGAAGAGAGGCATTGGCAGTTCAGGGGGGATGTGGGTGCATGGAATGGCATCTCTCCTCTTAACAGGTTTCTTGACAGACAGTTGCATCAGCCTGGAGTCCTTTCATGCATTGCCCAGCGTCTAACACGTGGGACAGATTTCTGCAGACGCCTTGTTAATCTAGATTAGCATTGATTTTCACACAGCTCCTCACAGCTGCTGAGAAGTGCAAAGGTGGGGCAGAGCACAGCTATGTGCCTGCATATGCTGGCTGTATATTAGGGCATAATAGGCTTCCAAGGGAGGAGTTCTTAATTTGGGTACAGACTATATATGCTAATTATATGGCATCAGTCCTGGCAATTAGCAAGCATATTTTCAACTTGCATTTTTGACTGAGGTAACAAAGCCAGCATTGCCTTCTCCACTCACTAACTTCAAAGGCTTTGTCTTGATTTAAGAAACGATGTCCTAAAGCTGTTAGGAGAAAGTGAAGCTGTGTTACTGCGACTGTCAGGCTGCCCACTTAAAAAACTGCATGGTAAATGGATGAGCAGCCAAGCTCCCTGCAATGGTTCATGAGAGCTTTGAGGTTATAAAATGCCAGCCAGCATTTATTGTCATTGGCACACAACATAATATTCCCACAGTGAATACAGCACAGATCTTCCAAAGCAGAGCATGCATCCCTAAAATATCAGGACCCAAAGATACACCTTTGGTCAGGATCATAGGTTGTCATACTTAAAAGAGAATATACTGTACACCTCCCAGAAGGGAAAGTAATAATTGGTGGAAGAAACAGGAATGAAAACAAAGAGACAGAAAATCTGAAGTTCCCCTGGGTGATCCTGCCAACCCTCAGACATGAGACTGGCATAGGTTATGAGCAACACTTAAAAACATTTGTCACCTTAATCTGCTTGGGTGTTTTCATAAATCTCAGCAGACATTTTAAATTGCTGTAGCATTTTTTGTAAATCTGATTGCAAACTATCTTTGAAAACTAGCCTTAAAACCCCCCAAGTGAGTTAGTCTTTTACAAAATTTAACCCTACAGGGAGGGTCATCAGCATGTAATTGTGCCACTGCAGTTGTAGCCTTTGAGCCTGGCTAGAAATATCCAGGGCAGTTCCCTACACAGAGCTGGGATTACCTAACTACCTACACCAAAATTAAAGACAACAGTCCCCTGTTGCTCCCAGTCCCAAGCTGTATGTTCCACACAGAA